GACAGGGGCCCCACACCCTCATGCCCACACCACAAGCCACACGCACACGCACCAATCGAGAGCACCACTGCCACCCACCTGTGCACCCCTAGGCCTGTGGGTGACCCAGCCCCACCCTGCAGGCGCCTGTCCGTCTCCCACAGCCCTGGCTGCACCCGCACACCCACAAGGCCCCCCGCAGCCTCAGCAAGGACTCGTGACCCACACCCACTCCCAGGGCCCACGCTGACCCACCCCAGGCGCCTGCGAGCTCCTGACCACACGCCGCCCCGACTCCACCAAACCCTACAACTCAAACCTAAGCTCCTCTCCCCCTCCCCCACCACACGCACACCCCGCGCCCAGGGAAGCCCCACTTCCTCCTGCCGCCACCGCCACCGCCAACACCAGGGAGCGGGACAGCTGGCGGAAGCTCCTCTGTGCAGCGGCTGGGGTCTGAGGCCCCGGGCCCAGGAGACCCCTGCCCACCGCAGCTAAGGGCGCCCAGCCAGCGCACTGCTGGACTCGGGTGCCAACTAGGACCCACTGCTGGTCAGCCACGTCCCCCACAGCCACGCCAGCAGCCACCTGCGTCCCACCACACGCTGCCCACACGCGCCTAAGTGTCTCCAAAGGGGCACTTGCCCAGGGAAGCCCAGGCTCCCGTGCCCCAGGCCCTCCGCACCCTGCGCCCGGCCTGCACTCGCACACTCTCCTGGGCGCACACAGGCGCCCACTCCCCGCGGCAGCCCCAGACGTGGCGTCCCTCCTGAGACTGACACCCCCACGTGTCTCCTCAAGCCTCAGGCAGCACCCACCTGGAACCACCCCACAGCTCGCCCCAGAGGCCCTCGGGCTCCCCTCCCGGAGGGACCAGGCCCAGCAGTGCCCAGCAGACCCCCTGTCCACACCCTCCGCCCCCAGACCTGTCCACAGAGATTCAGAGCAGCTGGGGAGGCTGCTGGGTCCCCAGGGCCCAGCAAGGAGGTGTCCTCTCCCGGGACCACCCACCAGGGCTGGGCTGGGGGCCCTGGCCAGCCGCCCCGCTTCCTCGCACTCACGGCCTCAGTCCCCAGGCCCCCGCAGCCGGCTCCAGATGCCTGGGGTCCCTGAGGCCCGACAGCCTCGAGCCTTCTGGGGACAGCAGCCGGAGCAGAGTGCAGCATGGCCTCCCGGCTCGGCCGGCAGGGGCCGGCAGGGCCGCCCAATCCCTGGCGCCTCGTGCTGCCGCCTGTGAAATGGGGTGATAAGGAGGAGGCGGCTCACGGAGAGGCCGAGAGGACTGCAGGAGGTCACTCAGGAGGCTGGGGCTCCCCACCCGCAGGACCCTGCCCTCCAGCCCTCCAGCCCAGCAGGCCAAGGAGCAGTAAGAAAGGCCGAGGGGAAACCAGGAGGAGGCAGCTGGGCCCGAGCGGTCGGGGAGGGGTGGTCCCAGACTCGGCCTCCAGAAGCCTCAGCTTCCCCAGACAGAAATAGATGCACATGAGATTCCTCAGGCCCAGAGAGGTTGAGTGGCATTGCCAAGGCCACACAGAGGGGAGAGTGGAGAAAGAGGGAGAGAGAGGCTGGACGAGGGGGGAGAGAGGGTGAGTTATAGAAACAGACATACAAATTAGGTCAGCTGGCAGGGGGCCCGGAGCCCAGCACCCCTGTGCCACGCTAATCATGCCGCAAAAGCTAAGAACAAAATCAAGTGTAATTAGTTCTGCCCGAGCTGCCTTCCCCTAATTAGCCAGACGTGGCCTCCCCTCTCCTGATGACTAGAGGCGACGCGAGCAAGGGCTGGCAGGTCAGCTTTAGGTTCAGGCAGCCCTGGGTCCAAGTTCAGCTCTGCTTTCTTGCTGGGTGATCTGAGGCAAGTTGCTTAACCTCTCTGAGCTTTTGTTTGGCTAAACAGGGACAATAATCATTTGCATCTCGTGGAACTGTTTGCGAGAATCAAGTGAGATACTGTACCAAAAGCACACACTGCCTAGCACACAGTTGGCGCTCGGTAACCTTTGGCTGGCAATGCATGGCACATGGTCCCCCGGTTGGATGGCAGCTTAAGGCTCAACGAGGCCTGAGAGGTGGCTGAGGTCAACTCCCCCCCCAGCAGACGGAGGGGCAGAGCCGGGAAAGCCTGGCGGCTCAGCCCGGGCCAGGGGCGGGTGGCAGGCACTCAGCCTGCCAAGCAG